ATAGGTAAACATATCCATGCTATTCAGTATATTCTTAACAGAAACGTAAGATATAAAAGATCCTGTTTCTATTGAGACAACTGATTGAAGTTTTCTTTGTTATTTTTTGGGACTTCTTTAATTTCCTTTCGGTCTTCCATTTCTACCGATATGATTAAAAGTATCGTATTTATCATACTTTTGCTTGGTACAAACTACTGTAGAGTGGCAAATGGCAAACATTTTGGCCACCTCTTTTGTCGAATGACCAAGCTTGAGAGTTTGAATTACTTTAGCTCGAGTCACATTATCAAGTTGCTCAACCATGATTGACTTGATAAGCTCTAATTTATATTTTATAAAGGCGGGTCAGATGGTGAGATCCGAGCTCCGGTGGTGTCAAGCTCCGATTGGAATTGGCCCAGAAGTGGTTATTTATGGGAATAGAAAGAATAAAGACCATCATATTCAGTGATGAGTCGAAATTCAACTTGTTTCACTCCGTTGGCAAGTCCTTTGTGTGGAGAGAGCCTGGAACAGGACTTCTGTTCCAACATATTGAAAAAACTGTCAAATATGGAGATGGAAATGTAATGGTGTGGGTTGTTTTCCAAATTATAGAGTTGGAAAGTTGGTGTTTATTGAGGATTAAATGGGTGCTATTCATTATGCGCGCATCTTTTTCAATAACCTCTTTCAATATGCAGCATTAATGGGTTTGAATCAGTTCATTTTCCAGCAAGAAAACGACCCAAAACACACGTAAAAGCTGGCATCAGAGTTTTTCAGAGAAAGATATGGGGAATTGTTGCCTTGGCCAATTAAGAACTTATGTGGGATTATAAAGTCTAAAATAGACATATTAAAGCTTAGAAATATCAACGAACTCAAAGATGCAATTAAGACGTCTTGGCCAAAAATAACCACGAATATGGCAATGAGATTGGATGAAAGTTTTCAAAAACGAGCTATTGCTATTTATAAAGTCAAAGGTGAATCAACAAAATATTAAATGATCAGTGAAGTGTTTTATTTTAACATAAAAGTTTAAAAGACAATTAAATGGTCCAAATAAAACTTATTAAAAAAATAACAGAATTGTAAAATTATTCAAAAATAGCTCTATCTTATATTTAATATCGACTTGTTTTAATTTTTGTCGTTCTGACCAAAAAAAGTGTGGTGCGTTTTTTTTAAACAAACTGTATATATATTGTGTCCTGCATTACCTTAAACGAAATAGAGAGTACACAGCTCATATACCTGATTTACTGGTATTCTTGAAAATCTGCTCAAAACGAAAAATACTTACAAATAACATTATCCTTATCAGACTTCCTCACATTAGTATTTGAGTAGTATTGGTAGCATTGCTCTTAAATATCTTTTGAATTTATACTTGATGCGTAGGTGTCATAAAAAAGGCTACTAAATGAAATCGAAGTATAGTTTCGCTCTCATTAAACTTAATGTTTCTATTATTTTGTTAAAATATGGTCAACAATCTTGGAACCAATTCCCCCTCATCACTACCAAACGTATAAATTTATGTAAGGTAGCTCCATTCTTTTCAGTTTGGGTCGGCTTCTGAGGTCATTTCGCCCTGAAGGAGTGGAGTCCACAAGACAGTTTCTTGTGTAATTCTTATCATTATAATGAAGGGCATGTTTGGTACTATCTTTCGAATCAAACCAGGAAATTAGTGAAGAGTCAAAGCTTATTCATCCCCCAAAGCGAAGCCAACAAGTCTGAGGTGAGACTCTGTAAGATTAGTGAAAAATGAGGCCATTTTGGAGAAACTTTTCTGTCGGCCAGCTAGTCTTGTCAGGTAACCGGACCTCTTCTTGGGCCAGGAAGCGATAGGTTATTGGGAGAGGGCAAGAAAATGAGTCCACTTGTGGATAAAATAGAGCCGGAGCACGTCGGCGCGAAGGGAGGTAGTCCTGCGGAAGGAAGATGCAATTATGTGACAAGCAAAAGAATTCGCAAAAATAAAATGACAAGTTGGGATGAGTGCAAAACAAGGGGTGAATTGAAGAATGCCAGAAACAAAGAAAGTCATGCGAGTCGGCCATGAGGTGCAGTGTCAAATGAGGAAATGGTGCTGAAACAAGTTTATCAGAAGCAACACAGTCTACCGCATGCTCAGACAACTAGTCCCATATTCCGGTAGAAAAGACGATCCAACCATACGCCACATGTTTGTGTTCACCCTCCCTCGTCGTGACGACGAGGCTAGCAAACCACCTCCAACTGCGGTTTCCAAGACAACTGCACACGAGCAGATGGTCCAGCTCTTACCAATGCACCCTGTGGATTGGTACGTTATGTTTGAGCATCCTTTGAGGCGCACACGAACAGTTTGCATAATTGCACACTCACATATACACTCACGCATGCCCGCACACACACGCGACTGCGTGTGTAGAAATAGGAAAAAAAATTTTCGACGTGGGTCGCTTAAATAGATATAAGTAGGCATCACAGTTAATTTGAACTTAAATGACATTCTGAGGCCTAGTTATCTATTCGCGAAAAAAACTCATGTATTTTAGTTCTTAAATGACCGATTAAATTCTCATCAAAGCAAGCTGCACAAACAGATGATGAGTTGATCCATTCCGATGAAGCAAAACAAATTGAAAAACTATACATAGAACTTGGAAACAGCATTTTTAGGATGGACATGGTAATAAAACATTTGTGTGTATTTCAGTTCATTGACAGGCAAAACAAACACAATGTGGGCCGGGATTTATATATGCTTTTTGTTGGCTTACCTCGGTCTCCTCGAGCTCGCTGAATAGAGAGCATGCAGTAAAGAAAAAAGAAAAGAGAATGTATAGAAAAGATATGAAAGTCCCGAGCGTGAAGGTGTGCTGAAGAGGCAAGAGCGGATTCATCAAGCTACAAGATCAAGTGTTTCAGATGAGGCAAATGGAGGCATCGACAAAACGTCAGCACTCATAATGAATGTGCAGTGGATGAAATAAGGTAAACAATCGGATTGTGAAAGTGGAGGAAGGAGAGTTCAGGTGCCAGGGTCCCCGAAGACCGTTCAAGACGAAAAGATAGTGTGCTTGGACAACAGATTTTTAAGAAACGCCTCTTGAAAACCGCGGATATGCTTCTTTCAAGTTGCCCCTTACAGGCAAATCTCGGGCCAAATCTCGTTGTAACGAAACTTTGGGGAATGCACAAGTTAATTTGACATAATGAAATTCCCTTATACAGCATAAATAAAAACAACAATTTTATTGTAAATCAGTATTCAGAGGAATTTCGTTATCACGGTATTGGTTGTACCGCAATTCGACCGGAATTGCTATTTAAAGTGTCGAGAAATTTGACAGGTTTTGAGGACATTTTGAGAACTGGGGCATTGTCATATGGTCACGCATACTACTTTTAGCGGAATATGAGTAGTAACAATAAGTCCGCCTTTAGCCAACCTTGTTGGCGGCTGGTAAAAAAAGTGTAATCGCCTCGCCAAATAATCCTGCTTGCGCTCGGTGATGCGAATGACGAACTAGTCGAGAAGACTACAAAACGAGGAGTAGCTAAGATTAATTTGAGTATTATATTTAAATGGCCGGTCGGGTATTTTCCACGTTTCGCCTTTAGAAGCAATGAAGAGTGCATGAAGTGATATTTTATAGCGGCTTTTGTACCAAGGAGCTTGTGTCTGGTCAAACTGTGCAACCATAAGTGCATTGTGAGCATGCATGTCGACGGTTGGGGGACAACAAATTGCGATGCGATGCTGCGGATTGTAGAGCAAGCTGAGTGTAAATGTGAAGTGACGGTTTAAAAAAAATCCCTTTTGTGCACACGATTGGCAGTGGGCCGAGAATGGAAATGTGCTGCATTTCGTCCCAAATTAAGCTAAACAAATAGGAATCGCCATCTTCAACAAGATTTGTTCATCAACAGGCTGATGAGGTGTAGTCAGTTACCGTGTTGTGAAACTCTCAGGCTAATCAAGTGGTACAGATGTACGCCTTGGTTTCAGGTGTAACCTCTGATTCTGGCCAAACAATACAGACTACTTTATGTGTTATCAGTAGTATTGAGCGATATAGTGCGTAATTCAGCTAAATAATTGGGGATTTTGCTTAGAAATGACAAGCTTATTGGTATGAATGACTATTGTCGAATGGCAAATAGGCCGAGAAATGCTGCAATTCGAAGCTTCCACGAAGCACTTATCCCCTCAGAAAGTGTCCTAAAGTTTGGATTCCGCCAGGACACGTGACAAAGGTCTCATCTGCTGCATGTGCTAATTACTATTGTATGATTCGACCCTTATTGTGGTCGCCAGGAGCCCGCATGGGACGACAAGTGCAGGAGGGGATGAATGGAGTGCAGCAGCCGGATCGGTCTCGAAGGTACCAGCCAGGCGAAACAAAAGGTCAAATGACAAAAAGCAAGATGAAAAATGAAAAATGAAAAATCGCAATGGGAGCTGTTCTGTGAACAATTGTAGGCATGCCTTAATGGATACACGGAGTTGCTGTGCACACACGCACACATGCACAAAACATGCCATAGCAAACAGACACACACTTATATGTCAATGTGTTTGTATGTATGTATGTGTGTGTGTGTGTATGTGTGTGTGTGTTCCTCAGTTTATGGGCCCACATAGCCACATTTGTGCGTATGTTTGTTGACGTGTGTGCATGCGCGGAAAAGGGATGAATTATTCTGAGACATTTTAGGATGCTCAAACGGGCCGTTGCAAGTGATTAGCTTCACACAAGGCCCAGTGTAGAGGAAGCGACAAACCTACCTTTCAGTGCCAGTTCGGACTCTAACACGAACTCGGATGTGTCTGCGAGACAAATTGTCATTTGTAGGTGGGGCGGGGGTGGTGGGGAGGTGAGGGAAGGCAAGTGAAACGGACTTGAGGCTCACATTTTGTCGGACACACTCGCAAAGGGAGAAAGCAAAGAGTTCTACTGAAAAGTTCCACTTGTTCTCGGCGCCTCAGCCAACTTGTGCGCCCGCCCCCAGCGTGTAGCTTCAAGGAAAAGTGGGCAAAGTGCAAAACCTGTCAGGCCGAGTCTGCCGATTCGATTGGCTGGCCAGCTGACCGGGCACTCGAATGAAGCCATCCCGTTCGCCCCATTGGCGGATTTCGGTCAACCACCAACAGTCAACAGCCAATCAGAAGCCTCCAACTCATGCTGATGACTTGCCCTTTGGCAGGCTGACAAGTGTGCATGCAAAAATGGACTGACAATGAACAGAAACCCTCCGTTGCAGGTGCCTCGATTTGAGCCATTCTGGGTCAAAGTGGGGCAAAAATTGGCCAGCCCAAAAGTGGTGATCGTATAAAGACCTACCTGGTCGCCAAGGCTGAGGAC